CAAGCTTTGTCTCTTTTAAATATGCTTTTGCGACGCAGCCACATCACAGAATGGAGAAACCATGTAAATTGCGTCAAAGATCTGTAGCCTTAGAGATAGAGCAATGGCATCTTCAATGCAAGGCCATGACGAAAATACACAAACACACATGAATCACCGACTACAGAAATGTGCATAGATTTTTACATAAAACAACCATTTTTAAATCTTTTTGTGAAATAAATAATAAGGTTTCCGGTCATGCATTATACTATTCCTCTTACAACATGAGGGCCACGATGTCCAAGGCTTCAAAAGGCAGACACTTGAGTAGGAGTGAACCATAAAAATAAGAATAAAAAAATAAAACATTGCACAATTTTTCTAAAGCAGCTATGTCTGGGTGGCTTTAGGTCAAGGCAAGATGTTTCACACACTCTTACAAGATCAGAAATATGTCATGATAAAACGCATCAATAGCACTTTCTTTCAGAGACGGAATGAAAAGAACGTGTTTTAGACCGTGGCTCGGGTGAATGCTCAGTCGGGCAGTTTTGTCTGTGGAGAAATGGACATTGGGGAACAGCTATGTAGAGGATATATGGTATCAACACTGTTTAAATGTAATATACAAATCCACCTACATTTAACAATTCATATTTGATCATTGAAGGCTGAAATGACTTTGATATACGATATTATTCTAGCTGTAGATACTGTTTGACAAGAACAGATTGCTAGCTACTAGAATATTTCATTTATCGTAATGGTAGAGGTTGGTTTCAAAAACAAATAACGTGTTTTATGGAAAACTGAATTCATGTTAAGTCAGATGTGTCAAACCTATTTGGTTTGGGGACTGAGAATAAAAGTAGTCATTATTGTCTACATTACAAAGGCGTGTGGATGAATTTCTTTTATTTGACATTTGTTGGATGAGTTTGGATTTTCTGTTTGGTCTGTAATATGTACTACATAAATAAAGATTACTTACAAAACTGGACGACATATACAGAGGAGATGTTATTGAAGACTGATAGGCCAGTAATTTATCTTTTTTATTTCAAACATAATATTACATCGCTCATTGCCATCAATTCTGGTCAATACAAATAATTGAAAATCATGGGGCCACAAATAATGGTCTCCCTGGTCTATTTGTAACTATATGTTTTAGTTACAATAATGTAATCGAATATAATTTGAAAAGGTTTGTAAACTAAAAACAGTTATAACAGGGGGTTTGTAAACTAGAAACAGTTATAACTGGTGGTTTGTAAACTAAAACAGTTATAACTGGTGGTTTGTAAACTAAAACAGTTATAACTGGTGGTTTGTAAACTAAAAACAGTTCAAACTGGTTTCCCACCACAACCATTAGATTGAGACCCCTGCCTCTCATGGGAACCTACATGGGTTTATTTTGCTTCATTTCTTTAATTCTTTTGATTGACAGTGCTATGTGTGATGACCTCTTTCCCTCGGACTTCAATAAGAGCGGGTTTTATATCACTGTCCTGAGTCCCATAAACCTTGGCTCACCCACAGTAAAAAAAAAAAGATAAAAAAAAGTTTACAATATTGAGCCGAAGTCATTTCATGGAACAGGAAATGTCCAACCAACACCCATAAAGCATCTTTATGGAGCACTTTGGGGCTCAGTGATGTCCTAACATAACACCAAGCTTTCTCATACTTTTACTGGCTCTGGGTCCATGTGTCCAGGTGACATTGTCCTCCGGCCTCCAGACAGACACAAATCTTTCATTGAGTCTGTCAAAGCATCAGATGAGGTCCACAAATTGGCCAGCCATATTCTTTGTGCTTACGGAGCTCCCTGTTGAATCCGGCTGATGTAGAGGTATTTTTGTTGTTTAATATTACGTGTCTTCAAATACTTAAATGAACTAAAGAAGTCAGTGAAACTCTAGATTGGAGAGTGCACAAGAAATATAATCCACATTATCCATATTTGAAAAGATTTTAGCCATTTCTAAGATTTGTTGAGGAATAATGTGTTTCTTATGTCATTACTGTACTGGAGTGGGTACATATGTATAAATATGTGTACTGTATATTGTATGTGTGTAATGTCAGTATGCAGGATCTGCTTTGCTTCAGCCCAATCCTTTTTTGGTTTTAATACAGTGATTTCAACATCGGGGCGACAGTAGCTCAGTTGGTAGAGGATTGGCCTTCAGGCCTGAAGGTCGTGGGTTCAATTCCCACCTCTACACCTTCTCCACCGACTCCCGCTGATGACTGCTGTCGTTGTGTCCTTGGGCAAGACACTTAACCCCACTTTGCCCAAAGCCCCCACTGAAAGATCAAGGTTATACTCACACTCAGAGAGCAGCCGTCCTCCTGTGGACTCACCACCTGCAGAGGGTCAGTGAGGGGCTGGTGCTATGAGACTTGGGTGGCATCTCTGATTGCCATCCCCCTGACCCAGAAATGGATTAAAGGGTAGAAAATGGATGGATGGATGGATTTCAACATCTGTAATAAATCACACAAACAATCAACCAAAAAAATCCAAATCCTACATTGGAGAATTTAAGGCTCAATGGGACTTTTCACAATCTTTCATACAGTTTTTCAGTATTTCAGGTAATGGGATTACCCCTGGTTCAAGGAGGTCTGTCAAATATTGTCAGAAGGAAACACACAGTTTCTGAGCAATCTGCAGTAAAAAAAAAATCATGTCAGGAAAATCATCAATTGAAATGGCCAGTGCTTTCAAAGCCAAAACAAAGGAGTTATTTACAATTTAAAGCCATTCTCTTTACTGTTAAATATGTGAAATTGTATCTAACAAATAAGAAAGAGGTCTCTGTGTGCTTAGCTCAGAGTGCTGCCCCTAGAGGTGGAGGTAGCGCATTACAGGGGCGTTCCAGAGGAGGCAAAATCTGTACCGTGTGTGATTTGTGGGTGGATGACGATGAATTTCCTTTTTTGTTTTACTGCCCATTGTATCATGATTTTAAGAACTAATTCGTATGAGATCATTCAAGGAAGAATACTAATCTTTTTTGGCTGAAGGAGAAATATTATGTTGGTTATTAAAAAATAAATAGTTTTGTGGAGAAGGCCTGGACAGTGAACTCAGAGCGGAAATGATTTTTGTTTGGACCATCTTCCCCTTTTCTAGTAATAGTGTCATAAAAGTGTGTGTGGGCTGGGCCTGTGTGTGCATGACACTATAAAATATAATTAATTCAGTGCTGTGATGGCAGAGCACTGGAACATCAGATAACACAGGGGGACGGCTGAGCTGTAAAGTGCCAAACTGTTGTTGTGTCCTAAGGCAAGACACTTTACCCACATTTGTTTGGTTTGGTGTGTGCGTGAAAAAAAGTAGTTTACAGAGTCAGTGAAACATCCCCCGTGAAGTGTTGTTGAAAATCCAAAAAGCGCCCACTAAAATCAATGCAATATTATCATTCATTAATATTAAAAGACCAAATGACTAATACAATGAGGATGGTCGAGCACCATTCAGAGGAATTGCCACTTAAGGTCTGCAAATCAAACCTCGAGGCTGTGAGGCAAAAATGATAACCAAAACACCCACAAGAATTTCAAATACAGAAGGGGTTTGGAATAATGAAATTGAATTGTGCTTTGCATGTGGATAGATCCCATCATGGAAATGCTGTTCACTGAAATCAGCCATTCTTCTGGTGCCTCTGGGCTTTGTTGGAATATGGTGCTGGGGATGACAACCAAGAAAAAGTGAGTTTGCACCACTTTTTAATATCACAGAACACAGTAGGGCAGAAGTACTCATTAAATGGAAGGAGAAGAACTAAAAGTTGAAGAAGAAAGTCACTGATGTCAGAAACTAGGCTGTCAATCTGCACCATTGGCCCTTGCATCACACGCCAACTTTAGATTACAGCAGTCTCTAATCTTAGTACAAACTAGGCCCAGACTAGCTTAGCTTCTGAGAATGGAGAATCTCAATATATATATGTTTTCCCTGTAATGATTCAACAAATAAAACAGTAAAAAAACTAACGTATTGAGTTTTACGTCTTGCATTGTTTCCCTAACGTTAGATTTTCGTTTAAAACCATAAACCATAGAAGGAGTGGCCAAACAGAGTGCTGACATCACCAATAGTGTTGCCTTACTGCAGAAGAAGCCAATTAGAGCTGACTTGAACAGGCTCCATGAGTGGGAATCTGGGGAGACATTTATGGGAAGCAATGACCAAGAAACCAAAGAGCCCATTAGGAACAGTGCAAGTGGTTTTTGCTAGCTGAAGCCAAAATTGGAGACAGAGGGCTCCTGATTGGTCAGTTATTAGGGGTATAAATACCAAGATGTAGCAAAAAGTAAATCATGGATTATTTTATCCCAAAATGTTGAGTGTGACACAAACGGTCACTGAGCTAGAGGATTTTACTTTCAATCTATAATAATAATTATAATAATAATAGATTGTATATATAATGCCCCTTACATAAGTGAACACATGTCAAGGTGCAACAGCAAGTAAAAAAAAACAATCATAGTGAATGAGTAGGAGCAAAAGTTCACCCCTAAGCAAGTCCATATTGCTAATGGAATTGCTAATATTAATAAGGAAGGGCTCATTTATGTAGAGATGCTGTGATTCAAACCTGTGCTGCTCCCAGTGGCCACTACACTCACTGCAGTTTCTGTTCTGCGGACGTCAATTCCCAGCTGACGAGGACTGGGTGTGTTCCAATCACACAATCCCATCCAATCCACTTTATCTATATAGCACATAAACACAAGTAAAATAGTAATCATTAAAAATCAAATAGGGTAAAGCTATAAATATACACATACACTCGTTTATTTGTATACATGGAGGCGCATATATCAGTTAAACAAAATTACATTAAAATTCTGTTTACCATCAGCAAAAATATCAGACTCAGCAATTTTCAGGACACTTCATTCCATCCTTGTTAATTAATCTCCAAAAAACAAAATAAAAACCCCAACACCACCACACAAAAACACCCACACCCATACCACCCAACCCCCTATCCACACAATTCATCACCTATACAACCCCCAACAACCCACCCACACCCCCCAAACCCAAACCAAACCCACCACACACCCCATACCACCCACCAAAAAACCACACCCCCCACCACAAAACACCAACACCCCCCACACAACCAACCACCACCACAACCCCACCCCCATACAACCCAACCACAACCCCACAAACAACACCCCACCCCCCCCATACACCCCAACACAAAAATACACCCCAAAACCACCACCCCCACCCCCCACCAAACACCCCCACAATACCCCCAAAACCCCCACCCAACAAACCCAAAACAACCCCCCCACCCCCCCCACCCCCCCCCCAACAACCCCCCCACAAAACACTCAACCACCACACCCATACCCCAAACTAAACCCACAATAAACAAACCAAAAAAAAAATAATCCCTCTTTCCAATTTAACAAAAAAAAAACAAACAAAAAACATTCACCCCAACCACACCCCACCCCCACCCCCCCCACACACCCCCCAAAATATTCCCCCCCCCCCCCCCCATCCCACCCACCCACACACCCCACACCCAACCAAAAAACCCACATTAAAACACCCCCCACCCCCCCCCCCAACCAACCAACCCCCCCCAACCACACCCCCCAACACCCCCCCACCCAAAATCAATCACTCATAATCTCATAAACTACCAACCCCCAAACACACCCCCCCAACCCCCCACCCCCCCCCCAACACACCCCCACCAAACCAACAAACCCCACCCCTATTTCCACATAAAATACCCCACCAACCAACACCCCACCCCCCCAACCCCCACCCCCACCTAAAACCACCACACACCACCCCACCCCAAAAACCCCCAACCACAAAAAACCCCCCCAAAACAACCACCCAACCACCAAATCCAACCCAACACCACACCAAACACCCCCCCACCCAACACCACACCACCACCCCACCCCCCACCCCACCTCCCACCCCCCAACCACAACCACAAAACACACACACCCCCCCAACACCCACCACACAACCCCCACCCCCCCCCCCCTACCTACCCTCCAACAAACCAAACCCCCACCTCTTCTCTTACCACTCTTACCACCCACCCCCCCCCCCACCCCCCAACCCCAAACCAACCCCCCCCACACACCCACCCAACCAAACCCCCCAACACCAAAACACACACCAACACCCCCAACCCACCCCATACACAACCCCCAACCCCCCCCCCCCCCAACACACAACCACCCTAAAAACCCCAACAACACCCCACCCAAACCAACCCCACCCCCCCAACACCAACCACAAACCACCACCCACACCCCCAAACCCCCACCCCAAAACAAACCCCCCAAAACCAAACCAACACCCCCAACCCAACCCCCAAACCCCCCACACACCCCACCCAACAACCCCACCCCCCCCCACCAACCCCCCCCCCCACACCAACACCCACAACCCCAACCACAACCAACCAACCAACCACACCCCCCACCCCCCCAAACCCACAACCCCACCACCAACCAACCCCAACCACACCCCACCACACCAACCCACCACCACCAACACCCCCAACACACCCACCACCCACCACAACACCCCAACCCACAACACACCCCCCCCCACCCAAACAAACCAAACCAAACACCCACCCACCAACAACCAACCAAAACCACCCACCCCAACCCCCCCCACCCCCCCCCAACAACCCCACCACCACAACCACCACCACCCCAACCCCCCACCCAAACAAACCACCCCAAAAACACCAACCACCACACTCCAAACCCCCACAAACACACCCACAAACAAACCCACACCACAACCCACCAACAACCAACCCAACAAAACCCACTAAACACCACAAAAACCCCACCAATAAACATCTACTCAAACTCAAACCTCCACTACCTAAAAAACATTTAAAAACACCACTTCCTACCATACTCTCAACCCAACCCCCCCCCCTCTATCCAAAATATACCAACACCCATACAAAACCTCAAACCCCACTACCAACCCACCACCTACCCAACAAAAAAACAATAAAACCCAACAAACTACCCCCCCACCAAACAATAACTACCCCCCCTTCCAAAACTATTCCCACAAACTATCACACCACCATACAATCACAACCACAAAACCTCTCACAACCCCCCAAAAACATATCCAAACAACAACAAAAAACAATAACCCTCACCCCCCCCAACACAACCCACAACCACCCCCAAATCCCACACTAACCCCCCCACCCCCCACCCCCCCCCCACAAAACCACCACCACCCCACCCACCACCCCAAACCACCCCACACCTCCAACACCCAACCCACCCCCCAACCCCCAAACCACCACCCCCAACAACCAACAAAAATACAACAAACCCCCCAACCATCCCAACACACCTCCAAACACTAACCACTCCAAACACCATCCACCCCACAAATCCTAAACCCCAACAATCAACACAACACCCCCAACCATCCTCCAATTCCCTTTCAACCTCCCAAACCACGTATTTCCCAACCTCACCAAACATAACCCCCAACAAAACCTATCCTACCATAAAAATCCACCCACACACAACAAAATACCCACCCAAACCCCAACACCCACCCCAACCCACACCCCACACAACCCAAACCCACCAACAAAACAAACCAACCCCCACCACCCCCAACCAAACCCAACCCCCCACCAACCCACCTATACCATACTCAAACCACACCACCCACACCCCCCCCCCCCCCCCCCACCACCCCCACCCCACACCATACCCCACACACCCTCCACAAACAAACAACACAACACAAACCACCCAACCCCATCCCAAAAAAATTATTCATACACACCACCACAAAAACCACACCCCCACCCCCCACCCCAACACCCAACCCACAAACCAACCCCCCCCACCCAAACACCAACACATAACAATAATCAAAACTCACTTAAAACACATACCACCAACCATCCCCAAACACCACCCACCACATTTCAAACATCCCCAATCCCTCTCCCCCCTTAATCACATACACACAACCTAACAAAATATCCTAAACTACACCAATCCACCCCCAACCCAAATAACAAACTCTCTCTATCTCTATCATCCTCTAACACTCCATTTTAACCCCCCCCCTATCTCCCAAATCCCCCCACCCCCACATTACCCTCCTCTACACCCTCCTTTAAACAATCATCATAACCATAATACCCCAATCATCCCCCCATCTATAACAACCACCAACACCCTTTCCCCCACATTCATAAAACCAACCAATACAATCACACCCCTAAACATTTCCCCCCCCCCCTCAATCCACAACACCCCCACTACCCAATCCTCAAATACATTTTACAAAATCTCCCACAAAAAACCCCAATCCAAAAAAACACCCCATCCCCTCCCATACCCCCATATATCCCAATACCCCCCTCACAACCCCCAATCCTCACAAAACACCACCACCACCATAATAAACAAAAACACACACACTAACACCAAAAAATACTCTAATATCTAAAATCCCCTAATATTAAACACCCCACCACCTCCTACCAAAAAAAACTTCCCCCCAAACAATCCCCCCCCCCTCCCAATCCCACACCCCTATACAACAAAAACTCCACCACCAAAAATCTAAAAATCACCCCCCAAATTCATAACCCCAAATCAACATCCTCAAAACCCATAAAAACCAATATTCAACAACAAACCACATACAAAATAACTCCCACACCCACACCACAATCTACATTACACACCTACACAAACCACATACCCCTACAAACAATAAAATCAAAAACTCCAATAACACAACATTTCTCAATCATACAAAACAACATCAAATAAACACCCTTACACACCCTTAACATTATTCAACACCCCCAATCACCCACACCAATCAATTCCCCTTACAAATAAAACAAAACCAAATATCCTTTCCCATCCCCACTAACTACAACAAATCACTATTAATTCAAACTTTCATATATCCACACCCCACCCCTACCACCCCCCTAACCCCCACCATATCTATCCCTATATTAAAACCTACATCACTCCCACTCCACACCATCCACCCACACCACCACCAAAACCACACCCCCACACCATCCCCCCCCACCACATATACTACACCTCTAACCCACTTCCCAATAACATACAAAACACCTACTATACCATCCACCCCCAAAACCATCTTACATACAAAAAAAACAAACCCCTAAACCACACAAACCTTAAACCATCAAATCTCAACACTCAAACACACCGCCTTCCCTCAACCCAAAAAACCCCTAACCAACCCCACACCACCCCCCCACCACCCCCCCAACTCAACACCAAACACAAACACAACCCACATACAACCCAACACCACAAACCTCAATCCAACCCCAACAATACACCACAACAATTAAATCTCACTAACTATCAACCAAACCCACCACCACCCCCCCCCCCCCACCCTAACAAACAAAATCAAAATACACTACCCAACCTCACACACAACAACAAAACCCCACCAACACCCTCAAAAACCTCACCTATTACCACAACACCCCCCCCCCCCACAACCCCCCATCACAACACAACCCACCACCCCCACCACCACCCCAAAAACAATACACACCCCCAACAACACCAAACACACACCCCCACAACCCATATCCAACCACCCCCCCCCACACCCACCAACAAAAAAAAACCCCCCCCCACACCCCACACCCACCCCCCCCAACACCACCACCCCCAAACCCCAACACCCAACCCCCCCCCCACCCCCCCACCCCCCATCCACCCACAACCCCCCCCCCCAACCCCACAACCCCACCCACCCCAAAACCCCCCCCCCCCACCCACACCACCCACCCAACCCAACACACCCACAACCCCCCCACCACCCACAAAACCCCAACCACACACCCCCCCAACCCACCCACCACACACCACACACAAAACCCACACACCCACCCACCACCCACAAAACAACCACCACCCACACCCCAAAACCCCCCCCCCAACCAACAAAAAACAAACACAAAACCAACCCCAAACCAAAAAACACACACCACACACACAAAAACCCCCAACCCACCACACTACAAACACAAACCAACCAAAAAACCAAAAAACCACACCCACCAACACCCCCAAACCCCCAAACACCCACCCAACACCCCCAACCACACCCACACACCCCCCCACCTACACAAACACCCCAAACCCACCCCACCAACCCCCACAAACCCTCCCCCCCCACCAACCACACACCCCAACCACACCCACATCCCTCCCCACAACACCCCCACACCAACCCCCACCCCCCCTCCCCCCCCACCCCCCCCCACCCCCCAAAAAAACCCCCCAACCCACCCCCTCACCCAACCCCACACAACACCACCCACCAACCCAAACAACCACAAAACCACACCCCCCCACCCCACCCACCCCACACACCCCACCCACACCCACACACCACCCCAACCCCACACCACCCCACCCCCTCACTTCCAAAACCCACCCAACCCCACCCCCCCAACACAAACACACCACCCAACACCCCCACCCCCCCCCCCCCCCACCCCCCACCACCCACCCCACCCCAACCCCCACCACCCCCCAACCCCCCCACCCCCAACACAAAAACAACCACCAACACAAACACCAACCCACCACCACACCAACCCACCCAACCCCACACCCCACAAAACACAAACACCCACCCAAAACCCCCCAACAAACCCAAACCAAACCCACCCACACCCCCCCCCACCCCCCCCCCCACAACCCCCCACCACCACACCCAACAAACACAACACCCCCCCCCCCCCACCCCCCCCCCCCACAACAACCCACCCCCCCCCCCACCCACCCCCCACCACCCCCCCACACCAAAACCCAACCAACCACCCCCCCCCCCCACCACCCCCCCCACACCCCAACCCCCCCCCACACCACACCCCCCAACCCCAACCCCAACCCAACAACACCCAAACCCCCCCCCCCCACCAACCAACAAACCCCCCCCCAACCACCCCCCCCCCCCACCCCCCCCCCCCAACCCCCCCCCCCAACACAACCCCACCCAAACCACACCCCAACCCCCCCAACCAACACCCACCCAACCCCCACAACCCACCACCCCCCACACAAACACACACCCCCCCCCCCCCCCCCCCCCCCCCAAAACCCCCAACCCACAACACCCCACCCCCCCCCCTCACACCACCCCCAACATACCCCCAAACACCCCAAACAACCATCCCCCCACCAAACCACACACCACCCCACAACCCCCCAACAACACAACCCCAACCCACACCCAACCCAACCACCACCCACCCACAAACCCCCAAACCCCCACAACAACCCCCCCCCCACCACACACCCACTCACCCCAAAACAACACCACCCCACACACAACCCAACACCCACCACCACCCAAACCACAACACCAAACCCCCCAACCAACAACCCAACCAAACCAACCCCCACCACCCAACCAAAAAAACCCACAAACCACCCACCCACCCCCCTCCCTACCAACCACCTCAAATCCAATATTAATAAAAATATCATTACCCCTCAAAACCATACCAAAATATACCATCAACATTCTACCATAAAACCAACCACTCTATACATATTACACCAAACACTAAAACACAAATCAAACCTTCAACACAAAAACAATATAAACAAATTCACACTCACCCTATTCAATTCATTTCAATATATCAATTCCCCACCCTACCTAACCCACTAACACCTATCCCACACTCACAACAAAAAAACACACCAACCCCAAACCCCCAACAAAAACAACCAAACATACCAAACAAACCACCCAAAACTCCCCAACCCCCCACCCACCACCAACACCACCCCAATCCACACCCTTCAACCACACCAAAACCAACCCCCCCCAACAACAAACCCACCCCACAACCCACCCCCACCCACCAAACAAATATCCACCCCCAAACCCACACACCAACACAACAACCCCATACCCCCCCCACCCCAACACACCCCCAAAACCTCCCACCCCCACACCAAATTTAAAATTAAACAATTTACAAACAACCACCATACACCTCACCACAACTAACCCCAACAACCCATTCAAAATCTACCTTCCCCCCCACAATTAATCATACCCTCCAATAAATTCACAAACATAACATTAACACACCCCACAAACAACCCCAACCCATATAACCCACACACAAAACAACCCCAAAACCCCACATCCACCCCCAACTAATATCCCCCACACAATTTCACACCAAACTCTACACCCAAATAAACTAAAATAACCTCAATTCATATCCCCACCTAAATAACTATCCTACCATTCCATTATCTACACATCCTACTCAAACACCCACAACAAAAACCCACCCCCAACAAACAAAAACACCAACTACAACTACCCAAAAACCACTACAACCCCTATATCCCCACAAAAAAATTATACCCACCCTCCCACAACCCCCCTTCTCTTTCCTCTCATTATCCCACTATCCCCTCAAATACATCAATTCACACCCATCCTCCCCCACCAAAAACACCCAAAATACAAATCCAAAATATTTATACAATTAAAACCAAAAATCCAACCCCCTCCCACTCTTAATTCAAATATCAACCTATACCCAACATCTTTCACTCCCAAAATCCAACTACTATTACAAAAACACATCAATAACCACAATCCCATCACAACAATTTTAACAATTTCAAAAAAAAAAAAAAAAAACACCCCCCAACCTTTTTATAACATCCAATACCCCCCTCAAAAAACCTCCCCCCCCACCCCCCCCCCCACTTATTTAACCTATAAATAATTCCCCCACCCTATAGTCACCAATCAGAAACTCTACCCTGATAACACATAATAACCCTTGTCTATTCCACACAGCAATTCCAACCAAAACTTTAACTATACATTCCACCCTTCTCCCTCACCCGACACCTTTCCAAAACAACTCCCATTTTCCTACATTTTACCCCCCCCCCCCAACAAAACCCCCCCCCCAATCTAACATACCACTTCCCAAACATCCCCCACCACAAACAAAAAACACACCAATAATCAAACACCAACTCCCCCCCCCTAAATACTTTTCCTTGAATGATCTCTACGGAAAAAGATCTTAAAATCATGATACAATGGGGCAGTAACACAAAAAAGGAAATTCATCGTCATCCACCCAAATCACACACGTTCCAGATTTTTCTCCTCTGGGAACGCCCTGTAATGCGTACCATCACCACTTAGGGCATCCACTCTGAGCTACAGCACCCAGAGACTCTTTTTCCAAATCACTCACATTCTCCCCCTCCCCCACAAATCAAAACACACCCCAAACTACCCCCCACCACCCCCCCCCCACCCCAAAACACTCCAACCTCTCCCCTCCCCACTCGACCCCAACCCACACACTCCTCCACCACCCCCCCCCCCACCACCCAACCACCCCCCCACCCCCCCACCCAAACCCACCACAACCCCCACACCCCGCCACCCCCCCCACCCACCACCACCCCAAAACCCCCCACCCCCAACCACCCACAAAACCCCCCCACCCCACCCCACCACACATCACCACCCAACCCCCAACATAATCCAATTCCCCCCCATACACCACCCACACACCCCCCCACACCACCCCCCCCCCCCCCCCCCCCCCAAAACCAAAAAAACCAACACCCAACCCCCACCACCCACCAAAAACACAAAACAAAACACCCACATCTACCCCCACCCCACAAAAAACCCAACCCACAAAACCCACACCAAACCAACCACACCCAAAAACCCCCAAAAACACAAACACAAAAACCACCACAACACAACCCCCCCCACACCACAAACACCCACCCCCCCAACAAACACAACACCACCACACCCCCCCCCCACCCCCCCCCCCCCCCAACCACCCACCCCCCCCCCCCACCAACCCCCCCCCACAACCACAACCCCCCCCCACACACCCAACCCCACCCCCACCCCACCCCAACCACCCCCCCCCCCCCCCCCCAAACCCCAAAAAACCACCACCCAAAAAAACCACAAACCTCAACCAACACCCCACACACACAACACCAACAAAACAACCAACAACAAACACAACCCACCAACACCTACCCCACAAAACCCAACCACTCCACCACCACCAAAACAAACCAAACCCACCCACCCACTACCCCACAACACCCCACCCCCCCAACACAAACACAAACCCCCAAACCTAAAACCCCACCCCACACACAAACCCACATCACCCACCACCCCCCACCCACCCAACCCCCCCCCCAACAACCCACCACACAAACCCCACCCCCCCCCCCACCACAAACACACCACACAACCCACACCCACACACCCAAAACCACCCCAACACAAACAAACCAAACCCCCCCACCCCACACCAACCAACACTCAACCAAAACCCCCAAAAAAACCCCCCCACAAACCCCCCAACCCCACCCCCCCCACCCCCCCACCCCCCCCCAAACACCACCCAACAACCCCACACCCCACCACCCTACACACATAAACCACACATAACCCCACCCCTAAAACACCCACACCATTACAAAACCACACCATACACCACCCATCACACCACCCCCTCAAACCACCCCCACCCACAAAACCCACAAACCCCCCCAAACCAACACCCCAACACCCAACACAACCACAACCCCCCACACCCCCCCCACACACCCCCCCCCCACCACACCAAACCCAACAAACAACAACCCCCCCCCACACCCCCCACCACCCCAAAAACCACACATACTAACACCAAAAAAACAACCACCATACCAACAATAACCCCATAACCCACATAAACATACACACTCCATCAAAACCCAACTACATCATTCAAAAACCCCTCCCCAAAACACCCCACCACACCCCCCAAATATCCACACCATCATAAATCTATCCCAAAAAACCAACACTAATCAAAAACCACATCCCCAACACCCTCATAAAACAATCCCAATACTACAACCAAAATACCCACCAACCCCACTACCCTCAACCACCCCAACACCACCAATACACTCTAAACATCAACACCCACTAAATAACACACTTTACAAAAACACACAATTATCACACCACCCACCCACACCCAACCAACCCTAAACACCAATACCAATTACTAACCCCACCAACCACCACCCCCCCCCCCCCCCACCCACCCAACACCCCAACACCAAAACCACCCCACCCCACCCCCACCCCAACCAAACCCAACCCAAAACCACCCCCACCCCCACACCCACCCCACAACCCACACCCCCCCCCCACAAACCACCCCACCAAAAAATAAAAACACCCCCCCCCACCCCCCAACACCCCACCCCTCCTCCCCCCCCACCCCAACACCACACCCCCCCCCACCACAACCCACAAACCACCACACACCACAACAAAAAACCAAAAACCCACAAACCCCACACCACACACCACAAAAAACAAACCCACCCAAAACCACCCACCCCCACCCCCACCCCCACCAACCCCACAACACCACCACAACTTATCCATCTCCACCCATAAATAACCACCCCCCCCAACCCCACAACTACAAACAAACCAAACCAAAACCAACCCCACCCAACCCCCCCCACCACACACAACACACAAACAAACAACAAACCCCCCCCCCCCCCCACACAAACACACACCAACCAACAAAAACACAACACACCACCACCACACCAACCACCCCCACCCAACCCAACACACAACACCACACAACACACCCACACCACACCACACACCCCACCCCCCCCCCCCCAAACACCCCCCCAACAAACACACCCCAAACCGCCCCAACCACCCCCACAACCAAACCCACCCCCACCCCCCACCCAAACCCACCCCACCACCCACACCCACACAACACCCAAACCCACACCCCCAACACCCCCAACACCAAACCCTACCAACCCCAACACAAATCACACCACAACCCACCCCCCCCAACACCAAAAAACACCCCCAAAAAACCACAACACCACCACACACCAAAAAAAAACACACCCACCACCACCCCCCAAACAACTACCCCCCACCCAAACCACCACCAACAACAACCAACCCCCCCCCCCACCCCCACCACCCACCCACCCCCCCCCACCCACACCCCACCCCACCACACCCACCACCCCCACCCCCCCACCAAACAACAACACACCCACACCACCCCAACACACCAACACCACAACCAACAAACCCAAAACAAACCCCAAAACACCACACCCAACCAACCACCACAAAACCCACACACACACCCAACACCACAAACCACCAAACCCCTAAACCCCCACCCACCACCACCCCAACCCCCCCCCCCCACCAACACACAACAACACAACCCCCCCCCCCCCCCCCCCCCCACAAACCCCCCAACCCCCCACACACAACACCACACCCCCCCACACAACAAACCCACCCCCAACCCCACCCAACACCCCAAAACCCCACAACCCACACACCCCACACACACAACCCCCCAAACCCAACCAACAACCCCACAAAACCAAACAACCCCCCACCCCCCCCACCTCCACCCCCCCCCCCAAACACCCCCCCCCCCACCCCCACCCCCAAAAACCCCACCCCCCCCCCCCCCACCCCCACCCAACCCACCACCCCCAAACCCCCCCCCACCCCCCCCAACCACCCCCCCCCCCCCCCCCCCCCCCATCCCCCAACCACAACAAACACAACCAAACCCCAACCCCCCAACCCCCCACCCCCCCCCCCCCACAACCCCCACCACCCCCCCCCCTCCACAACCACCACCCCCAAACAAACCCCACCCACACAAAACAAACCAAACACCCCCCACCCACCAAAACAAACCACACACACAACACTACAACCCCCCCCCAAAAACAACCAAACCCCCACCCCCCCCACCCCCAAACACAACACAAACAACCCCCACAACCCAACCCCAAACAAACCAAAACACCTCACAACAAAAAATAACCCCCACCCCCCCCACCCCAACACCATACTCACCAATACAAAAAAAAACAAAACCCCCAAAACCACCCCAACAAAAAACCCACCACCACCCACCCACAACACAAACACACCCCCCCAACAACCACCCACAACACCACCCCCTAACCCTAACACCCCACAACAATCCACCCCATCCCCATCCCCCCCCCCCCCACACCCCCCCCCCACACAACACACCCACCCCCCCCCCCCCCCCCCCAACCCCCCCACACCCCCCCCCCCCAACACCCCCCCACCCACCCCCCCCCCACCAACCCCCCCCCCCCTACCCACCATACAACCACCACCCCAAACCCAACCCCCCCCCACCACACCCACCCCCACCCCCCCCAACAACCCACCCCCCCCCCCCCCCCCCCCCCACCCAACCCCCCCCCCCCCCCCCCCACAACCCCCCCCCACCCCCACCCACCCACCACCACCAAACCCCCCCAAACAACCCCCAAAAAACTTAAAAAACAAAAAACAAAACAAAAAAAAAACAAAATTAAAAAAAAAAAAAAACCCCACCCCCCCCCCCCCCCACCCCCAAACCACCCCACCCACACAACCCCCCCCCCCCCCCCCACACCACCCACACACCCCCAACCCAAACCAAAAAACCCAAACCCCCCCCCCCCCCACCCCCCACACCAAACCCAACCCCCCCCAACCACACCCCCCCCAACCACCCCCACCCCAAAACACCACAAACCACACACCACACCCCCCAAACACACCCCCAACCCCCCCCCCCCCCCCAAACACACACCACCCACAACAAACCCCCACACAACCACCCACCCCAAACCCCCCAACCCCACCCCCCCAACCCCCACCAACCCACCACCCCACCACCACCCCCCAAAAACCCCACCCCCAAACACAACCCCCCCCAAACACCACCCCAACACCCCCACCCAACCACCCCCCACCACCCCCCACCCCAACCAAACACCCACCCCCCCACCAACCCACCCCCCCCCCCCCCCCACCACCACCAAACAACCCCCCCACCAACCCCCCCCCAAACACCCCCCCCCACACCCCCCACCACACCCAACCCCACCAAAAAACCCCAACCCCCCCCCCCCCCCCCCACCCCCCCCAACAAACCCAACCCCCCCCCCCAACCACACCCCAACCACCCCCCCACCCCAAAACCACACACCAACACCAACCCCCCCCAAACACACCCCCAACCCCCCCCCCCCCCCCCCCCAACACAACCCCACCAACAAAACACCCCAAACCCACCCCACCACACCAACACCAACCCCCCCCCAACCCACCACCCACCCACAACACCCCACCCCACCCCCCAAAATACCCCCCACCCCAAAACATAACCCCCCCAAACCCCCCACCACCCAAACCCCCCACCAACCCACCCCCCCCCCCAACCACCCCCCCCCACCCACCCAAACCCCACCCCCACCACCCACCACCCCCCACACCCAACCACCCCCAACCCAACCCCAACCCAACCCCAACAACCAACCCCCACCCCCCCACCCCCACCCCCCCCCACCCAACCCCAACCACCCCACCACACCCAAACCCCACCCCCCAACCCACACAACCCCAACACCACCCCACCCACCACCCACCACCACCCCAACCAACACCCACCCCCCCCCCCCCAAACAAACACACACAACACCACCCACCCCACCCACCCCACCAACCACACAACACACACCCACACCCCCCCCAACCCCAACACCCCACCCCACACCACCACAACCCCCACCCAACCCCACCACCACCCCCCCCCACCCCACACCCCACCCCCCCAAACACACCAAAACAAACCCACCACAACCCACAACCACACACACCCACAACCCCCACAAACACCAAACAAAACCAAACCCAAACCCCACCACAACAACCACACAAACCCCAACCCCCAAACCCCAAACACCCAACCAACCCCCCCAAACAACCAAACCCCCCCCCACCCAACCACACCAACCACCCCCCCCACCCAAACACAAAAAAACCCAACCAAAACACCCCCCACCAAAACACCCCACAAACCCCCCAAAACCCAAACCCCCCCCCCACCACCACCCCCCCCACCACCCCCCCCACCCCCCAACACACCCCACCCACCCCCCAACCCCCACACCCCAACCCACCACCCACAACCACAACCCCACCCCCCCCACCCCCCCCCACAACCCCCCCACCCCCACCCACCACCCCCCAAACCAACCACCCAACCACACCCCCCACACCCCACCCCAACCCCCCCAAAAACAACCCAACAACCAACCAACCACACCACCACCAAACCACACACCCCACAACACCACACCCCAACAACAACCCCCAACCACAAACCAACACCCCCCCCCCCCCCCCCACACCAAACCAAAACACCCCCCCCCCAAAAACACCAAAAACCCCCCAAAACAAAAACCACACACCCACACCCCCACCACCACAACACACCCCCACACCACAACACCCCACAACAACCCACCAAACCAACCCACCAACCCAACCACAAACCCACCCCCCACACCCCAACCAAACAACCCCCACCCCACCCCCCACACCAAAACCCCACCCCCACCACACCCCCCCCCCCCACACCCCCCCCCCCAAAACCACACCACCACCAACCCACCCAAACCACCCCACCACACCCCCCAACCAACCCACAAAACAAAACCCAACCCCCACTCCCAACCCACCCCACCCACACCCACCACACACCCACACACCAACCCCCCCCCAAACCCCAACACCCCCACCCAACCCCACACCACCACACCCAACCCCCCCCCCCCCCAAAACCCCCACCCCCACACACCCCACAAAAACACCCCCCACACCAAAACAACAACCCACCCACCCAAACCACACACAACAAAACACAAAAACCAACACACAACAAACCCCAAACAAACCCACAAAACACCCAAAAAACCAACCAACCCCAACCAAACCACACCCCCCAAACCCCAACCACCCCCCCACCACACCACCACCCAACCCCCCCACCAACCCCCCCCACCCCCAACCACCAAAACCCCACACCCCCCCCCCCACCCCACCCCCCCACCACCCACCCCCCCACACCCCCACCCACCCACCCCCACCCACCCCCCCCCACACCACCACCACAACACACCCCCCCCCCACCCCCCCCACCACACCAAACCCCACCAACACCCCCCCCCCCACCACCCCCCCCACCACCCCCCACACCCACACCCCCACACCCCCCCCCCCACCCCCCCCCCACTCCCCTCCCCCCCCCCAAACCCCACCCCCACACCCCCCCCTCACCACCCAACCCCCCACCCCACCCAACCCCCCACAACCCCCCCACCAACAAAACACCCCCCAACACAACACAACCCACCCAAAACCCACCACCACCCAACCCCCACACAAACAACAACCACCAAAAAACCAACAACCCACCCACCAACCCAACAACCCCCCAACCACCCCCACCAACCCAAACCCCCACCCCCCCCCCCCAACACCCCACCCCACCACCCCCCCACCCACAACCAACCCCACAACCACAAAACACCCCCACACCCCACCACACCCCCCCAAAAAAACCCACAACCCCCACACCCCACCACCACCACAAAACCCCCACCCCACCCACCACACAACACCCCCCCCCCACCCCCCCCCCCACCAACACCCCAAACCCCAACCACCAACCCAACACCCACCAACACCCCCTAAACCCACCACACCCCCCCCCACCCCCCCCCACCCACCCCACCCAACACCCCCCCCAAAACCCCACCCCCCACACCCCACACCCAACCCCACCACACCACCCCCCCACCCCCCCCCCAACACCCACACCCACCCACACAACCCCACACACCACCCACCAAACCACCAACCCCCACCCAAAACCCCCCACAACACCAAAACACACAACAAACCACAACCCCCCCCCCCCCACAAACACCCAACACCAAAAACCACCCCCACCCCCCAACAAAAAACAAAACCCACACAACCCCCCACCCCACCACAACACCCAAAACCCCCCCCCCCCAACACCCCACCCACCCCACACACCCCACAAAACACACAAACCCCCAAACACACCCAACCACACCCCCAAACCCCACAACCCCACCCCCCCCCCCCCCCCCCCCCCCCCCCCCCCCCCCCCCCACCCCACAAACCACCAACACCCAACCCCCAACCCCCCCCCCACACCCACCCCCCCCCCCCACACCCACCAACCCCCCCCCCACACCCCCACCCAACACCCAACCCCCCCCCCCCACCCCCACCCCAACCCCCCACCCCACCACCTCCCACCCCCCCCCCCCCCAACCCACAAAACCCCCCCACCCAAAAACCCCCCCCCCACCCCCCAAACAACCCACCACCCCAACCCAACCCACCCACCACACCACCCCCCCCACCACCACACCCAAACCCAACCAACAACCCCCACACCCACCCAAACCACAACCAAACCCCACAACCCACCCCACACCCCAAACAACCACCCACACCCCACAACCCCAAACCCCCCCCCCACACCAAACCCAAACACACCCACAAAACCAACCCCAAACCAAACAACACCACACCCCAAAAACACAAAAAACCCAACCCACCCAACACAACAACAAACAACAACCAAACAAAAAACAAACCAACCCCCACACACAACCCCCAAACCCCAAACCACACCCACACACCCACCCCCCCAACCAACCCACAACCCCCCCACCCAAAACCAACAACCCCCCAAACCCCCCACCCCCCCAACCCACCCCCACAAACCCACCCCAACACCCCCCACACAACCACCACCCCCCCCCCACCCAACCCAAAACCCACCCACCCAACCCCCCCCACCCCCCCCCCACCCCACCACCCACCACCCCCCCACACCACACAAACCACCACCCCCCACCCACACCCCCCCCCAAACCCAACCAAAACACAACCACCCCCCACCACCCCCACCCACCACCCAAACCCCCCCCCACCCACCACACACCAACACAACCCCACCAACCCACCCAAACAACACACACCACCCCAACCCCCACAACCCACCACAAAACAACACCAACACCCCCACCCCCCCCCCCCCCCACCCCCCCACCCCCCCCACCCCACCCCCAACCCCCACCACCCCCCACCCCCCCCCCCCCCCCCACCAAAAAAAAACCACCCACCAACACCAACCACCCCCCACCCCACAACCACACACCCACCCAACCCACACAAACCCCCACCAAACCCACCCCCAAACCCCCCCAACAACCCAATCCAAACCCACCCACACCCCCACCCCCCCCCCCCCCACCACCCCCCAACCAACACCCAAACCAAAAACAACACCCCCCCCCCCCCCCCCCCCCCTCCCCACCCCCCACAACAACACCCCCAACCCAACCCCCCCCCCCCCAACCAAAAAACCACAACACACCACCCCCCCCCCCCCCACCCACCCCCCCCCCCCCACCCCAACCCCCCCCCAACCCCCCCCCCCCCCCACCACACCCCACCCCCCCACCCCAAAATCTCCCCCCCCAACCCACCACCCACAACCACCCAAACCCCCCCCCACCCCCCCCCCCCCCCAACACACAACACCCCCCCCCCCACCCACCCCCCCCCCCCCACCCCCCCCCCCAACCCCCCCCCCAACACACACCCCACCCAACCCCCACCACCCCCAACCACAACCCACCCAACCCCCCAACCACCCACCCACCCACCACAACCACCCACCCCCCCCCCCCCCCCCAAAACCCCCCCACCCAAACCCCACCACACCCCCCCCACACCCCCCCAACAACCCAACCCCCCAACCACACCAACCCCCACCCACACACACCCCCACCCCCACACCAACCCCAACAACACAACCAACCCACCCCCCAACCCCACACCCACCACACCAAAAAACCCCAACCCCCAACCCCCCCCCAAAACACCCACACACCCCAAAAAACACACCCCCACACACCCCCCCCAACACACCACCACCAAACCCCACCACCAAACCCCAACCAACAAAACACCCACCCACCCCCCACACCAACCCCCACAACTACCCCACAAACAACCACCCACCCCACCCCCAAACCAACCACACACACCCCACAACCACCCCACACCAACCACCCCCACCCCCAACCCCACCCCACCACCCCACACAACACCCCCCCACACCCCCAACCCCCACCCCCCCACACCCCACACCCCACCACAACCAACAAACCAATATTCAATTCCCCCAAAACCACAACCCAACCAAAAACCCACACACACAACAACCAAAAAAACCCCACCCACCCCCCCAACCACCCCCCCCCACCCCACCAACCACCAAAACACCCCCCACCCCCCCCCACCACCCCCCCCCCCCACCACCAAACCACACCCCCCACCAAAACACCCCAACCCCCCCCCACCCCCACCACCACCCCCCACACAACACCCAAACCCCCCCAAACCCCCCACCCACCACCCCAACCCCCCCCCCCCCACCCAAACCACCCCCTACCACACCCCAAATCCCACACCAAACCCCAACCCCAACCCCCCCCCACCACCCCCCCAAACACCCCACCACCCCCAACCCCACCACAACCACCCAACACCAACAACCAAACCCCCCAACCCAAAACACCACCCCCACCAAACCCCACACACCCCCACAACCCCCCCAACCCCCACACCCCAAACCCCCCCACACCCCCCCCAACACCACAAAACAACAACAACCAACCAACCCCAACAAACACACCACAAACCCAACAACAACACACCCCACCACACCCCCCCCCCACCCCCCCCCCCAACCCCACCACACCCCACACCCCCCCACAACACCCCCACCCAACCACCCCACACCCCCCCAAAAAACACAACACCCACAACCCACCAAAACCAACACCCCCCCCCCCCCACCCACACCCCCCACAAACACCCCAACCCCCCAACCACCAACCACCCACACCCCACAACCCCACCACACACCCCACCCCCCCACAAACACCCCCAACCATCACCACACCCCACAAAACCCCCAACCCCACCCCCCAAAAAACCACCCACCCCCCCCCACCACCCCCACAAACCACACCACAAACCCACCAACAACAACAACATAAACCCCCCCACACCCATCCCCCACACCCCCCCCACCCACACAACCAACACCCCCCCCCCCACCTCCCCCACCCAAAAACAAAACCCCCCTCCACCCACACCCACAACCCTCCCCCCACCCCCCCCCCCCCAACCCCCCCACCCCCACCCACCCCACCAACCAACCACTACCCCCCACCCACCCCCCACCCCAAAACACCCCCCCCCCAACCCCACATACCCCCCCCCAACCCACACCAACCCAATATCCCTTCATACATCTACCCACCCACACTTTTCTCACATCTACCTCCCCTCTTCCCACAAAACCCACCCACACCCCCCCCACCCACCCCAACCAACCCCCACACCCCCCCCCACCCCAACCACCACCAACCCCCCAACCACCCCACACCCCCCCCCAAACCACCACACACCACCAACACACCAATAATACCCACAAATACCATACCACTCCCCTTTATACAAACCTTCCCCACCATCCCCATACTCCCTCAATATCCCACCAATCTCCAACCCAAAACCATACTTCAAATTACACAAACACATAACAATATCAAACAACTCATAATCCCACACCACACCCCCACCCCACAAAACCAAATACAACCCAACCACCACCCACTACCCCATCAAATTTATTACAACAATAAATTACCAAACACACAACCCCCACACCCTATTAAACCCAACACAAAACCCAAACCCACATCCACCACAACCCAAAACTCTTATATAAACACAACAATCCCCACCCTCACCTACCACAACCCCCCCACAACCACAACACCACCCCAACCAACCCCCCCAACCCAAAACCACCACACACAACCATCCCCCCCCACCCACCCCACACACCAACCCCCCTCCCACCCCACCCCCACCCACACCCACCACCAAACCCCCAAACCAACAATAAACACCAAATATCACACCCCCCCCACTCCCACAACAACAACTACCCACCTACACCACACTACTCCACCACCCCCCCCCCAACACTAACAACCAATGTATTGTATTTATATTACCCTCCCCCTTCCACTTTATATCCAAATATAACACACAAACAATCATCCCAATCACCCCACTTCACAACAAAAACCCCCAAACCAAACAAACCCCACCCAATACCCAACTAATCAATACAACCCACACACACCCCAACCCAAAAAAAACCAACACCCCTCCCACAAACACAACCCCCAACCCCCCCACCCCCCCCCACCAAAAACACAAACAACAAAACAACAAACCCCCCCACACCCACACCACAAACCACAACCCCCACAACCCCCCACCCCCACCCCACCACCCCCCCAAAACCCCTTAATCTACTATATATAACCCCACCCCAAACACCACCCCCAATAAATAAAAATATACAACCCCCAACACACCCCCCATACCCAAAACCCACCCCAACACAAACACCAACAAATCCACTCACCCAAAAACACAACCCCAACCCCACAAAACCCCCCCCACCTACCCCAAACCCATCCCCCCCCCCCCTCCCCCCCACACCCCCCACAAACACCCACACCAACAACCCCACCCCCCCCCACCCACAAAACATACCACCCAAAACCCCACCACCCCCCCCAACACCCACCCAAACCAAACCCACACTACTACCCCACAAAACCACACCCCCCCCACCAACACCACCCTCCACACCTCAACCCAATTCACACCCCCCAACCAAACACCTCCCAACAAAACACAACCCCAAAAATAATTAACAAACCTATCCCCCCAACTCCACCACCTACCTATCCCCAACATCCCATACTCACTCCCATCCCCACACAACACCCCCCCCACCACCCACCCACAAAACACCCAAACAACACATCCACCAATAACAACATACAACCATACATTCTATTTACACATCCCCCCCCTAAACAACATAATACAAATAAAATCCTAACTTACATCATTCAACTCAATAAAAATTTTATATCCATATCAACCCCATTTTCTCCTAATCACTAAATATACCACAACACCATTAACTACATCCTATAAAATTAACCCCCCACCACCACACCCTCACACATTCTATCAAACCAACAAAAACATACCACCCAACCACACCCTCACAAAACCCCACACACAATCACCAATAAATCACCCAAAAAAACTACAAAATAAACACCCTAAACCCATAACAAAACACCACACCCAACCCAACCCCCAAACACCAACAATCAACAACCCCCCCACCCCCCCCCCCCCCCCCCCCCCAAACCACCCAACCCAAAACCCCCCCCCCCCTAACAAACACCCCCCAAACAAACCACAACCCAACACAACCCACACCAACCCCAAACAACACAACAACCCCCCCCCCCCCACCTCCACCCACCAAACACCCCCACCCCACCCCCCCCCACACCCCCCCCCCAACCCCAACACCCCACCCCCCACCACCAATACCCCACAAAACCACCACACACACCACAACAACAACAACCAATAACAAAAAAACCCCCCACCAACACACCAAAATCAAAACACAACCACACCCCCCAACACACCAACCATAACACTACCCCACCACCCCACCCAACCAACACCCCACCCAACACCCCCCACCAAAACATCCAATACCCCCCACCACACAACCCCCCCCAACAAAAAAAACAACAACCACAAACCCCACCCCCACCAAACCCCCACCCCCACACAAACCACAAAAAAAAAACAAACAAACAAACAAACCCCCCCCCCACCAACCCTCAAAACATACCTACAAAATACCCCACCCAAAAAACACACACCCACACACACAAAACCCTTCCTCCCCACCCCACAATACACAAACACCAACAACCCCACACCCAACCACACCCACCCAAAACCACAACCCCACCCCAACCCCCCCCCCCCCCACCCCCCCCACCCACCACCAATAAACAACCCACACAACCCATCAACCTAACAACCCCCCCAAACCAACTCAACCCCCACACCCCCCACCACCCCACCAAAACCAACCCCCACCCCCATACCCCACAAACATCCACAACCCACCCCCCACATTCCCCATCACCACCCTACAACACCCAAATCAAAAAAAAAAATAATTAAACCCTACAACCTTACACAATACCACCCACCCACACACCAACCCCCCCCCCCACTCCAAACACCCAACCCCTAACCAAACACCCACCACACCTCAACCACACCACCCAACACCCAAACCCCACACACCAACACCACCAACCCCCACCCACCCCACATACACACCCACCAACACCAAACCCCCCCCCCCACCCCACCCACCCCCCCCCACCCCCCCTCCCAAACACCACACACACCCCCCACACTCCCCCACCCCCCCCCACCCCACACCAAAAAACCCCCACAATCACCCCCACACACACACACACACCCCCCCAACACACCAATCAAACACTATTACATTTTCTTATCAAAATCAATAACCTCCACCCCCCCCCCCAACACCAACCCAAACTCAACCCCCACCACAACCCCTAACACAAAAAACCCAAATCCCCAATACCCCCAACATCTACCCCCCCACAACACCCCCAACCAAATAACCCCATACCCACACACAACACACCCCCACCCACCCCCACCCCCCCACCACACCCCCACCCACACCCCACCCATTAACCACCACCCCCCCCCACACCACAAAACACCCCAACACACCAACACCCCACCAAACAATCCCCCCCAACAAAACAAACAACCCAAACACACCCCCAAAACACAAACCCACCCAAACCCACCCAAACAACCCCACACAAACAATACACAACCCCCCCCCCCCCACCACCACACCCACCCCCCTACCCATACCCCACCCACCAACATAAACCCCACACCCCCCCACAACACACACCCAATAACCCCCCCTAACCCCCCAACCACCCCACTCCCCCCAACCCCCAAACCACCACCCAACCCCCCCCAACCCCCCAACACTCCCCCCCCCCCACACCCCCCTCACCCCACACCAACACACACAACCAACACCTAACCCACCCCCCAACCCCCCCCCCCCCACCCCCATCATCCCCCCCTAACACCCAAACCCCCCCAACACCACACACACCCCCCACATTACAAAACCCCCCCCCAAACCACAAAAAAACACCCACCACAAAACAATCACACCACTAAAAACAAACCCCCACACACAAAACACCCCCACCCACACCCACCCACCCCCCCCCAAAAACAAACCACAACCCCCACACCCACCCACACAACCCACCCAAACACCACTCTCAACAATTATAATTACCCCCCCACCCCCCACCCCCCCCAACTACAATACATCAAATACCAAATCCTCAAATTTTTTCCTATACCCATTCCACACCCACACAAAAACCAATCATACCCCCACCCACACACACACACCCACACCACCCACAACCCCAACCCAACACCCCAACACCCCCAACCACCCCCACCCACAACAACACCCACCCCCACCCAAACCCACTCCCCCCCCCCCCTATTCTCAAAAACCACCCCCCCCAACTTCCCCCCCAACCCCCCCACCACATACACACCAACCAACCCCCCCACCCCAACCCAACCACCCCCCAAACCCCACCACACAAACATACCACCCCCACAAAATCCCCACCACCCCACAAACAAAACCACACCCCCCAAACCTATCACAAAAAACAAAAACCCAACCCCCACATAACCTTCCCCCCCCCCCCCCCACCCCACCCCCACCAACCCCCAAAACAATCCCCACCACCCACACCACACAAACCCCCACACAACCAATAAAAACAAAAAAACAATTAAATAACTCATACAAAAAACAAAAATAATTCAACAAATCTTTTTTCTTTCACCCAACAAACCAAAATTCAAAATAACCCAACCACAAAAACACCCCAACAAACCCCCCCACCCCCCCCCCCCCCCCACAACCCCACCACCACACCACCACCCAACCCAACAAACATAACCCACAACCACCCACACCCCCCCCCACCCCACCCCCCCAAACCCCAAAACCAACCACCCCCCCCCCAACCCACACCCCAACCACACCCCCACCCCCCAAAAACCATACAACCACAACCCACCCCCCCCCCCAAAACACACCAAAACCCCCCCCCCCCCCCCCCAACACCCCAACCAAACCACAAAAAACCCCCACCCCCACAACACCCACCACACCAACCCCCCCCCACACCCCACCCCCCACCAACCCCACCCCCCACACCCACCAACAACACCCACCCCACAAAAACACCACCACAAAAAAAACCCCCCAACACACACCCAACACACCCCCACCAAACCACACCCCCCACCCCAACCACCCCCAACCCACCACACACCCCACAAAACCCCCCCACCCACACCCCCCCCCCCCCCCCCCCACCAACCACACAACAAAACCCCCCTCAAATACCCCCAAAACAACCCCCCCCCCCCCCCCCCCACACACCACACACACCAACCCAACACAACACAACCCCAAAACCCCCCCCCCCCCACAAACAACCACCCCCAACCCCCAAACACAACCCCCCCAACCCACACACCCCCATCCCACCCCCCCACCCCCAAACACCCACCACACCACAAACCCCAACCACCCCCAAACAACCCCCAACCCCCCCACCACCCCAACACAAACCCACCCCAAACAAACCCAACCACCAACCACCACCCCAAACCCCACACCACCCCCACCCCCCACACCCACACACAACCCACCCCCACAAACCCCACCCCCAAACACCAACCCCCCCCAAAACCCCACACCCAAACACCCCCAACCCACCAACCCCCCAACCACCCCCCCCAACCACACCAACCCCCACCCCACCCCACCACACCCACCCCCCCACAACCCACACCACAAAACACCCAAACCACAAACCAACCCACCCCAACAAACACACCCCACCCCCCCACACCCACCACCCCCCCAACAAACCAACCAACCAACCCAACCCCCACCACACCAAACCCCACCCCAACCAAACAACCCCACCCACCACCACCACCACCCACACAACCACCCCAACCAAACACCACCCCCCCCCCACCCAAAAAACCCACAACCAACACCCATCCCCCACCACCCCCCCAACCCCACCAAAACAAATCCCAAACAACCCACCACCCCCCCCCCCACACACCCCACCCAACAACCCCCCCACCACCACACAACCCACCAAAAACCCCCAAACCAACCCCAACACCCACACCCCCCCCCCACCACACACCCCCAACCACCCACAACACACCCACACAAACAACCACCAACACAACACCCAACTCCCAACCACACCCAACCCCATCATCCCAACCCCACAACAAACAAACCCCACACAACCACAACCACAAAATCACACACAAACCCCAACCCCAAACAACCAAACACCCAACCACTCACCCCCCCACAACCTCCAATACCCCCCACCCCACCCACCCCACACCCCCCCCCCCCCACCATACCCCCTTATAATTTCCAAACACACCACCACAACAACCCCCACCCTAACATAAACACCCCCCCCACAACCATAACAAAAACCCCCCCTAAACACCCCCCCCAACACCCCCCCCCCACCCCCCAACCCCCCCACCCCCACACCACCCCAACCCCCCCCCCCAACCCCCACACCCCCACAAACCACACCACCACCCCATCAACCCCCACAACCCCCCCCCAACACCCCCACCCCCCCCCCACCCAAACCCCCCACCCCCCCAAACCACCCCAAACCCCCACCCCACCCACACCAACCCCCCCACCCAAAAAAACCCCACCCCCCAACCCCCCCAAAACCACCACCCAACAACCCACACCAACCCACTCACCACCAACCAACACCCCAACACACACACCCACCAACACAACCCCCCCCCCCACACACAATCCAACACCCCCCCCCCCCCACACCAAACCCCAAAACCACCCCCCCCATCAAACACCCCACCCATAACAAACCCCCCACCCCCCAACAAAATCCACCCCAACCCCAACCCCCCAAACCACCCCACAACACACCACACACCACACCAGAAACCCCCCCAACCCAACCACACCCTCCACCATAACCAAAACCACCCAACCCAAAACAAACCCAACCCCCCACCACCCCCCCAACCCCCACTCCAAACAACAACCACCCCAAACCATCACCAACCCACCAACCCCCCCCCCCCACACCCACCCCAACACCCCCACCAACCAACCCCAAACCCACCCACTACCCTACACCTACACCCCACCCCACACACAACCCACCCCCTACCCCCAAAACACAAATACAAAAACACCCAACACCACCTCCACCCCACCCCCACCCAACCCACACCACAACAACCACCCAAACACACCCAACCCCAACCCCACCCCCACAAACCCAAAACCCCCACCAACCCCAGACCCCACCCACCCCACCAACCCCCCCCCAAACACACCACCCCCCACCAACCCAAAACCAACACCCCCCACACAACCCCAACAACAACAACCCCCACCACCCCAACCAACTAACTCAAAAAACAACCAACAAACCAACACAATATATATCCCCCACACCCCCACCCCAAACCCCAACTACCCCCACAACCTAACACCAATCATCAAACCCACACCCCCAACCCAACTTACCACAACCCCCCCAAACCCCCCACACCCAACACCCCTACACACCCTCCTCAACAACCCCCCCCCACAAACCAACCCCCCCCCCCCCCCAATACCTCACCACCCCAAAACAAATCTCCACCCCCCACCCCCCACACCACACCCCCCCATCCCTCCCCCTCCAACTCACCCAATCCCCCCCCACACATCCCAATACCCCCCCCTCACCAAAAAAAAACTAAACTACTAATCACATCCACACACCCCACCCCCACACACCAAAAATATTCCCAAATCTCAAAACCACCCAAACCTACACACCCCATCCACACCCAACACCCCACCACCCCCCACACAACAAAAACCCCTCCACCCAACATAAAAAACCCCCCCCCATTCACCCCAAATCAACATTCCCCCTTACACAACCACATCACCACCCCAACACCCCCCATACCCTACAACAATCAATCCCCCCCCCCCACAACCAAAAAAACACAAACAAAACCCTTCCCACCAAACACACCACCCATAACCACACCACCAACAACATCCATTTCAAACACACACCCCAAAAAACCAACAAACCATACCCCCCCATACAACCCAAACACCCCCCACCACCCCACCACAACCAAACCAACAACCAAAACCAACACAACCCATACCACCACCCCCCCACCAACCAAAACCCAATTAACACAAAACCCACACCCACCCACACCCCCCCACTTCACACCAAACCCCCCACCCACACCCCAACCCACCCATACACCCCCAACCACCACTTAACCCACACCATACCCCACCCCCAAACAAACACACAAACCCCCCCCCTTCCCAATACAAAACTTACCCCTAATACAACCAACCCCCACAACCCACTACAAAACCCCCCCCCAACCCCCCCCCACCCATAACCCACCCCACCCACCCCCCCCCACAACCCCCCACAACCAAAAACCCCTATCCCCCCTACCCATACCCCCCACCCCCCCTCCATACACAACACCACCCAATCCAACCCCAAACCCACCCACACCACCAACCCCACCCAAAACCCCCCCAACAACACTAAACACACAACAACACCCACACACCCCCCCCCCCCCACCAACAACAATCCACAAACCACCCCAACCCACAAACAAAAACCAACACCAACCACCACTACCCCCCACCACAACACCCATTCACCCCCCCCCCAACCCAAATCCCCACCCCCCACCCCCACCTAAAACCCACCACCACAACCAACACACACCAAAACACCCAACTAAAACCCCAAACCCCACACCACCCCCCCCCCCCCCACCACCCACCAACCACAACCACATCACCCCCCAACCCCCAACCAACACCACCAACACACCCCCCACACACACCCCACCCAACCCCCACCCAACACCCACCCCCCCCACCCCCCCCACCCCACCCAACCCCACCACCCCCCCCCCCCACCCCAACCCCCCACACCAACCAACCCCACACCCCAAACCCCCCCCCCCCCCACCCCAACCCAACACCCCCCAAACCAACCACACCACAACCCCCCCCACCCCCCCTACATCCCCACAACAACCAACCCCCCCCATTACCAAACACCCAAAACATACCAACCCCCCCAACAATAAAACTCACCAACAAACCACCACCCACCCACCAATCACCAAAACCAACAAAACATCACACCCCCAAACACCCAAACACCACCCCCCCAACACAACAACAAACAACCCACAAACCTAACCCCACAACACACAAACCACACACCCCCCACACACAACCAAAAACCCAACCACCAACACCAAACAACAACCACACAACAAAACACAAACCAACACACCCACCAACACCCCCAACCCCAACCACCCCCACACCACTCACCACCCCCCCCCAACCCACACCACACACCCACCCCCACCACCCCACAACACCACCCCCCAAACCCCCACCCCCACCCACCCTAACCCCCACAATCAACACACCCCCCCCAAAACACCACACCAACCACCCCAACCCACACCCACCCTCCACAACACCCAAAACAACCCACCCACATACACCCCACCCCCCCCACCCCCAAAACCCCCCCCCCCCACCCTACCCCACCCCCCCAACCCCAAACACACAACCACCCCCAAAACCCCCCCCAAACACCAACCCAAAACACAACCCCCCCACCACCCCACCCACCACCAACAACCCCCCCCCCCACCCACCCCACAACAACCCAACCACAACCCCACCCACACCCCCACCCCCACACAACCCACAACACCCACCAACCCCACCCCCCAACAAAACAACCACCACACCCCCACCCCCCCCCCCCCCCCACCCCCCCCACCCCCCCACCCCCCACAACCCCCAACCCCCACACCCCCCCACCCCCCCACCCCCACCCCCACTAAAAAACAACCACCACACACCCAATTAACCCAACCACCCCCCCACACCCCCCCCCCAGCACCACCAACCCAACCCCCCTACACCCACACACAACCACAACACCACCCAACCCCCCCCAACAAAAATCACCAACACCCACCCCACACCCCCACACCCCCCACCCAACCCCCCCCCCCACACTCACCCCCCACCAAAAACACAACCCCCCCCCCACCCCCAACCCCCCCCACAACAACACCCACCCCCACCCCCCCCCCCCCCCCCACACCCCCCCCCACCCCCCCCAACAACCCCAACAACACCCCCCCCCACACCCCCCAACCAACCCCCAACCCCCCCCACACAACACCCCCCAACCCAAACCCCCAACCCAACAAACCAACCCCCCCCCACCCACCCACAACACCACCCCCACCCACCCCCCCCCCCCACCCCCCCCCCAACCCCCCCCCCCAACACACACCCCACCAACCCCCCCACACCCCCCCCAAAACACCCCACCCCAAACCCACCAACACCACCCCCACCACCAAACCCACCACCCCCCCCCCCCCCCCAAACCCCACCACAACACCCAACCCAAACCCAACACCCACCCAAAAACACCCCAACCCCAAACCCAACCACCCCAACACAACAACCCACAAACATAAACCCCCAAACAACAAACCACCCCACCCCCCCAACCCCACACCCACCCACCCCAAAACCAACCCCCCCCAACCCCAACAAACCACCACACCCCCCCAACAACAAACACCCACCCCACCACACCCCCCAACACCCCACCACCACCCCAAACCCCAACCACAAACCCCAACCCAACAACATAACCATACATCCCCCCACCCCCCCCCCAAACAAATCAACCCAAAAAACCCACATACAACCACCCACCCACCCCCCCAACCAACCACCACACACCACCCACAAACACCCCCACACAACCCCACCCCAACCCACCCCCCACCCCAATCCCAACCCACCCCCCCAAATCCAAACCCCCCAACCACACCCCCCCCTCCCCCCCCACCACAACCACACACCACACCCAAAAACCTTCCAAAACCACTAAAATAACCACCTCTTTCACATCTATACACCCAACAAATACATTCATTTCTCACCCTTAAATCACTCAAACACCCATCTTTTACCCAACCAACAACCACAACTCAACAACTCCCACATTAATAACTTTTATCCAAAATAACACCAACCCCCACAACAACCACCAACAACCATCCAACTACACCACCCAATACCCCCCCCAACCCCCCACCCCCCCCCCCACCCACCTACCCCACCCTCCCACACACCCACACACCCCCCTCCCAAACCCCCCCACCCCCCCCCACCACCAACCCCCCCCAACCACAACAAAAACCCACAACCACCACCCCCCTAAACCCCAAACCCAAAACAAATCCCCACCCCCACCATCACCCATCACCCACACCCCCAAAACCCACACAACCCCCAACACATCCACCACCCAACAACCTACACCCAACCCCCACCCCTAACTTTCCCCATACCACTCCCCCCCCCATCCCTCACAACACCAAAAACACTCAATCACCACCTATACCCACCCCAACTCCCCCCAAACCTCCTACCTCACCAAAAAAAACCACATCAATAAAATAACCAACCCTAATTCACAATCAATCCAAATCATTATCTCATCCACCCACCCCACCTCTCAACCCCCCAAACTAAACCCCCCCCCCCCACACCCACATCACCAACACATAAACCCACCCCCACAACACCCCAAACACATAACCAACCCACAACCCCCCTCCTCATCCACCACCCAATTATCAAACTATATCATCCCAAACAACATTTTCACACCCATCCCCTCCCCCAAACAAACAACAACCCAAATACAAATCCCAAAATATATTAATACATATACCCCCCAAACCTTCAAACCTTCCAACCACCCCTAAACCACCCACACAAAAACCCCAAACCACTCACCAAACCACCCCCCCAACCAACCCCCACACCACCCCCATCAAACACCCCACCACCCCACACCCCCCCCCCAAATAAACACACCACCACCCCCCCAAACCCTCCCCCCCCCCCATTTCCAAATACCAACATCACCCCCCACCATATATCCACCATCCAAACACACACAATCAAACACACACGAGAAAGAGCCAAGCTTTCCACAACAACCACCACACCCATATCTCCCCCCCCCCTTCCCAACATCTTCCACCCCCCCCCACCCCTTACCCTCAACATCAAATTCCTATACAATTACCCCCAACTTTTCTCCAATATACCTCCCCCTCTCACCCCCAAAACAACTAAACTCTTAATCCTCTCACTTCACCACACACCCACAAATAACTATCCCAAACCCCACAAACCCCTACCATCATCCTTCCAAACCCAATACACGTCTCTTTTAATATATGCTTTTGCGACGCAGCCACATCACAGAATGGAGAAACCATGTAAATTGCGTCAAAGATCTGTAGCCTTAGAGATAGAGCAATGGCATCTTCAATGCAAGGCCATGACGAAAATACACAAACACACATGAATCACCGACTACAGAAATGCGCATAGATTTTTACATAAAACAACCATTTTTAAATCTTTTTGTGAAATAAATAATAAGGTTTCCGGTCATGCACTGTACTATTCCTCTTACAACATGAAGGCCACGATGTCCAAGGCTTCAAAAGGCAGACACTTGAGTAGGAGTGAACCATAAAAATAAGAATAAAAAAATAAAACATTGCACAATTTTTCTAAAGCAGCTATGTCTGGGTGGCTTTAGGTCAAGGCAAGATGTTTCACACACTCTTACAAGATCAGAAATATGTCATGATAAAACGCATCAATAGCACTTTCTTTCAGAGACGGAATGAAAAGAACGTGTTTTAGACCGTGGCTCGGGTGAATGCTCAGTCGGGAAGTTTTGTCTGTGGAGAAATGGACATTGGGGAACAGCTATGTATCAACACTGTTTAAATGTCATATACAAATCCACCTACATTTAACAATTCATATTTGATCATTGAAGGCTGAAATGACTTTGATATACGATATTATTCTAGCTGTAGATACTGTTTGACAAGAACAGATTGCTAGCTACTAGAATATTTCATTTATCGTAATGGTAGAGGTTGGTTTCAAAAACAAATAACGTGTTTTATGGAAAACTGAATTCATGTTAAGTCAGATGTGTCAAACCTATTTGGTTTGGGGACTGAGAATAAAAGTAGTCATTATTGTCTACATTACAAAGGCATGTGGATGAATTTCTTTTATTTGACATTTGTTGGATGAGTTTGGATTTTCTGTTTGGTCTGTAATATGTACTACATAAATAAAGATTACTTACAAAACTGGACGACATATACAGAGGAGATGTTATTGAAGACTGATAGGCCAGTAATTTATCTTTTTTATTTCAAACATAATATTACATCGCTCATTGCCATCAATTCTGGTCAATACAAATAATTGAAAATCATGGGGCCACAAATAATGGTCTCCCTGGTCTATTTGTAACTATATGTTTTAGTTACAATAATGTAATCGAATATAATTTGAAAAGGTTTGTAAACTAAAAACAGTTATAACTGGTGGTTTGTAAACTAAAAACAGTTATAACTGGTGGTTTGTAAACTAAAACAGTTATAACTGGTGGTTTGTAAACTAAAACAGTTATAACTGGTGGTTTGTAAACTAAAAACAGTTAAAACTGGTTTCCCACCACAACCATTAGATTGAGACCCCTGCCTCTCATGGGAACCTACATGGGTTTATTTTGCTTCATTTCTATAATTCTTTTGATTGACATTGCTATGTGTGATGACCTCTTTCCCTCGGACTTCAATAAGAGCGGGTTTTATATCACTGTCCTGAGTTCCATAAACCTTGGCTCACCCACAGTAAAAAAAAAAGTTTACAATATTGAGCCGAAGTCATTTCATGGAACAGGACATGTCCAACCAACACCCATAAAGCATCTTTATGGAGCACTTTGGGGCTCAGTGATGTCCTAACATAACACCAAGCTTTCTCATACTTTTACTGGCTCTGGGTCCATGTGTCCAGGTGACATTGTCCTCCGGCCTCCAGACAGACACAAATCTTTCATTGAGTCTGTCAAAGCATCAGATGAGGTCCACAAATTGGCCAGCCATATTCTTTGTGCTTACGGAGCTCCCTGTTGAATCCGGCTGATGTAGAGGTATTTTTGTTGTTTAATATTACGTGTCTTCAAATACTTAAATGAACTAAAGAAGTCAGTGAAACTCTAGATTGGAGAGTGCACAAGAAATATAATCCACATTATCCATATTTGAAAAGATTTTAGCCATTTCTAAGATTTGTTGAGGAATAATGTGTTTCTTATGTCATTACTGTACTGGAGTGGGTACATATGTATAAATATGTGTACTGTATATTGTATGTGTGTAATGTCAGTATGCAGGATCTGCTTTGCTTCAGCCCAATCCTTTTTTTGTTTTAATACAGTGATTTCAACATCGGGGCGACAGTAGCTCAGTTGGTAGAGGATTGGCCTTCAGGCCTGAAGGTCGTGGGTTCAATTCCCACCTCTACACCTTCTCCACCGACTCCCGCTGATGACTGCTGTCGTTGTGTCCTTAGGCAAGACACTTAACCCCACTTTGCCCAAAGCCCCCACTGAAAGATCAAGGCTATATATACTCACAGTCAGAGAGCAGCCGTCCTCCTGTGGACTCACCACCTGCAGAGGGACAGTGAGGGGCTGGTGTTATGAGACTTGGGTGGCATCTCTGATTGCCACCCCCCTGACCCAGAAATGGATTAAAGGGTAGAAAATGGATGGATGGATGGATTTCAACATCTGTAATAAATCACACAAACAATCAACCAAAAAAATCCAAATCCTACATTGGAGAATTTAAGGCTCAATGGGACTTTTCACAATCTTTCATACAGTTTTTCAGTATTTCAGGTAATGGGATTACCCCTGGTTCAAGGAGGTCTGTCAAATATTGTCAGAAGGAAACACACAGTTTCTGAGCAATCTGCAGTAAAAAAAAAATCATGTCAGGAAAATCATCAATTGAAATGGCCAGTGCTTTCAAAGCCAAAACAAAGGAGTTATTTACAATTTAAAGCCATTCTCTTTACTGTTAAATATGTGAAATTGTATCTAAAAATAAGAAAGAGGTCTCTATGTGCTTAGCTCAGAGTGCTGCCCCTAGAGGTGGAGGTAGTGCATTACAGGGGAGTTCCAGAGGAGGCAAAATCTGTACCGTGTGTGATTTGTGTGTGGATGAAGATGAATGTCCTTTTTTGTTTTACTGCCCATTGTATCATATTTTAAGAACTAATTCATATGAGATCATTCAAGGAAGAATACTAATCTGTTTTGGCTGAAGGAGAAATATTATGTTGGTTATTTAAAAATAAATTGTTTTGTGGAGAAGGCCTGGACAGTGAACTCAGAGCGGAAATGATTTTTGTTTGGACCATCTTCCCCTTTTCTAGTAATAGTGTCATAAAAGTGTGTGTGGGCTGGGCCTGTGTGTGCATGACACTATAAAATATAATTAATTCAGTGCTGTGATGGCAGAGCACTGGAACATCAGATAACACAGGGGGACGGCTGAGCTGTAAAGTGCCAAACTGTTGTTGTGTCCTAAGGCAAGACACTTTACCCACATTTGTTTGGTTTGGTGTGTGTGTGAAAAAAGTAGTTTACAGAGTCAGTGAAACATCCCCTGTGAAGTGTTGTTGAAAATCCAAAAAGCGCCCACTAAAATCAATGCAATATTATCATTCATTAATATTAAAAGACCAAATGACTAATACAAGGAGGATGGTCGAGCACCATTCAGAGGAATTGCCACTTAAGGTCTGCAAATCAAACCTCGAGGCTGTGAGGCAAAAATGATAACCAAAACACCCACAAGAATTTCAAATACAGAAGGGGTTTGGAATAATGAAATTGAATTGTGCTTTGCATGTGGATAGATCCCATCATGGAAATGCTGTTCACTGAAATCAGCCATTCTTCTGGTGCCTCTGGGCTTGGTTGGAATATGGTGCTGGGGATGACAACCAAGAAAAAGTGAGTTTGCACCACTTTTTAATATCACAGAACACAGTAGGGCAGAAGTACTCATTAAATGGAAGGAGAAGAACTAAAAGTTGAAGAAGAAAGTCACTGATGTCAGAAACTAGGCTGTCAATCTGCACCATTGGCCCTTGCATCACACGCCAACTTTAGATTACAGCAGTCTCTAATCTTAGTACAAACTAGGCCCAGACTAGCTTAGCTTCTGAGAATGGAGAATCTCAATATATATATTTTTTCCCTGTAATGATCCGACAAATAAAACAGTAAAAAAATTAACGTATTGAGTTTTACGTCTTGCATTGTTTCCCTAACGTTAGATTTTCGTTTAAAACCATAGACCATAGAAGGAGTGGCCAAACAGAGTGCTGACATCACCAATAGTGTTGCCTTACTGCAGAAGAAGCCAATTGGAGCTGACTTGAACAGGCTCCATGAGTGGGAATCTGGGGAGACATTTATGGGAAGCAATGACCAAGAAACCAAAGAGCCCATTAGGAACAGTGCAAGTGGTTTTTGCTAGCTGAAGCCAAAATTAGAGACAGAGGGCTCCTGATTGGTCAGTTATTAGGGGTATAAATACCAAGATGTAGCAAAAAGTAAATCATGGATTATTTTATCCCAAAATGTTGAGTGTGACACAAACGGTCACTGAGCTAGAGGATTTTACTTTCAATCTATAATAATAATTATAATAATAATAGATTGTATATATAATGCCCCTTACATAAGTGAACACATGTAAAGGTGCAACAGCAAGTAAAAAAAACAATCATAGTGAATGAGTAGGAGCAAAAGTTCACCCCTAAGCAAGTCCATATTGCTAATGGAATTGCTAATATTAATAAGGAAGGGCTCATTTATGTAGAGATGCTGTGATTCAAACCTGTGCTGCCCCCAGTGGCCACTACACTCACTGCAGTTTCTGTTCTGCGGACGTCAATTCCCAGCTGACGAGGACTGGGTGTGTTCCAATCACACAATCCCATCCAATCCACTTTATCTATATAGCACATAAACACATACAAGTAAAATAGTAATCATTAAAAATCAAATAGGGTAAAGCTATAAATAAACACATACACACGTTTATTCGTATACATGGAGGCGCATATATCAG